TTTAACCTGTGTCCCATTCGGGGTGTGTGTGTGTGTGTGTGTCGGGGCGGGGGGGTGGTGTTTCTGCATTTGTGTGGGAGTTTGTGCAGCCTGTCGGCGGGGTGTGTTTGTGCCTGTGCAGCTGTACATGTATTTGTGAGAAAGCATTGTCTAAATTAACTAGATATCTATATGGAGTAAGTGTTCAAGTCGAAATGGAAAGGGTTCTAGTCCTTGTTGCTTGGTGATGTAGGTAAAATAGCCCAGAAATCTCAGGGCTTGGCAACCACAGCCACCTAACCTTGGGCAAGTCTCTTCTTCAACTAGTCTCCACTGCCACTTTGTTAAAAGATAATTGTTTAAAGGGAAAATCTCTCATAAAAATATAAAATGAATATGTGTCAGATTTTTAACTCCTTAATGAAGGAATAATAAGCTAAAAATCAGTTCAAAGGACAATATAAAGGCCAGATACACATACCCGTCAATCGGGAATAATGAAATGAATTTGTTAATTGATGCAAAATTGGCTTCTTCCATGGTGGGGAGGGGCATCAGTTGCACCTCCACCAGACAAAACTTATTTGCGTTGCTATGAACCCAAATCATTTGTCTATTTTCAGTTTTCTACAACTCACAGAATTAAAGACAATGAGAGGTGGAGACTACCATGAATTGATACCCCAGAATACACTAGCCCAATGTCCAAGGGCACTTTTCTCCCTATTTCAAAAGCCCCTCTCACTTTTCCTGGCAATTTGTACAATAGGATTGGGTTACATAAAGCTTTTTGAAAGTTTTTTGTAGTGGAACTCTTTTTCTAAGTGAAATCTTGCAGGAAATCCTAATATATAAATATACATATGTACACATATATTTTAAATTTCTGTTAAAATAATTTATTATACAATTAATACATGCTCATTGTACAAGTGTCAAGTAGTACAGAAAGTTACTAAATAAAAAATGAGGGGCACGTGGTTGGCTCAGTCAGGTGAGGCTACTATTCTGGATTTTAGCTCAGGTCCTGATCTCAGGGTGGTGGGATTGAGCTCTGCCTCTGGCTCCAGGATGTGCGTGGAGCCTGCTTGCTTGGGATTCTCTCTCTCTCCCTCTCCCTCTGACCCTTCTCCTTCTCTCTTAAAAAAAAAAAATTAGTCTTCCTTCTCCCTCTCCCCTTTCAGTTCCAGAGGTACCTACTGTAATAGATTTTTGTATACTCCAGGAGATACCCTCTACGCATGTACAAATACAGGTTTTAAAACGCAAACAGGATAAAAACAATTTGTTCTTCTGTACTTCATTTTTTTTTTTTTTCAATTCAAAGTATAGAGGGGCGCCTGGGTGGCTCAGTGGGTTGAGCCTCTGCCTTCGGCTCAGGTCATGATCTCAGGGTCCTGGGATCAAGCCCCGCATCGGGCTCTCTGCTGGGTGGGGAGCCTGCTTCCCCTCCTCTCTCTGCTTGTTGCTCTGCCTACTTGTGATCTCTCTCCCTCTGTCAAATAAATAAATAAAAAATATTTTTTAAAGATTTTATTTATTTATTTGACAGAGGGAGAGAGATCACAAGTAGACAGAGAGGCAGGCAGAGGGAGAGGGGGGAGCAGTCTCCCCGCCCAGCAGAGAGCCCGATGCGGGGCTCAATCCCAGGACCCTGAGATCATGACCTGAGCCGAAGGCAGAGGCTCAACCCACTGAGCCACCCAGGCACCCCAAATAAATAAAATCTTAAAAAAGAAAGTATAGAGGTCCACCTTATCATTTTAAATGATAAATAGCATTCCAGGATATGGATCCTTTCAACTTACTTGGCTAGTTCTCTATTAATGGATATTTTTTAGTTTCCAGTTTTATGGTATTATAAACAAAAGCTGCAGTGAACTCCCTTAACCAGTATTTTTGAGTGGTGATGTATCTGTATTTATCTATCAGTAAAATTTTAGGAGTGGAATCACTGAGGTTAAGGGCAGGTGCATTTAAACATTTTGACATCTATTGCCAAGTTACCTTCCCCAGAAGTTGTCATTTATTTTGTCATTTATTTTTTTCACCTGCCAAATGGCATATCTTCACATCCCCACCAAGAGTGAGTATCATCAAACTTTTAAATTAAAAAAATTTTGACTCTAAAAAATTTTTTTTTTGACTCTGATAGAGGGAAATGGCATCTCCTAGATTAGTAGTGTACTTTTCTACAATTATATCTAGCAGTTAAAAATCCTCCCTTTGGTGAGGGGCACTTGGTTGGCATAGTAGGTTAGGCTTTTGACTCTTGATTTTTGCTCAAGTTATGATCTTGGCGGGGGGGTGGTCATGAGATCCAGCCCTGACATCCTGCTCCATGGTCAGCAGGCAGGCAGGGAGTCTGGTCAAGGATTCTCCCTCTCCCTCTGTCCTGCCCTGTCTCCCCTTGTGCTTGAGTGCTCTCTCTCTCTCTGTCTCAAGGAAAATAAAATAAATAAATCTTTACAAATAATCTTCCCCTTGATGAGAAATTACTTCATCATTTCTGCAGAATAACTTATCTGGTGTAATTTGACATAATTTGAAAAACCCTTGAGCTAGACTGATTTCCTAGGACCTCACTCCAGGAGGCAGAGTCTCTGGAAGTGGGCATTTGGCCCTGCTCGTGGCGGTGTGGAGCTTGTCTGCCCATGTGTGTGCCACCGTGTTTGATATGTGATATGTTTTTGATATGTGTTTGAGTGCCAGTGTGTTCGTGCCAGTGAGTGTCCACCTCTCCTTGGCTGTGGGGAGCAAAGACCTCCCAAGAGCACAGGTTACCAGGGCATCAGTGTAGGACCCAGAGATCTCTCCACATTGGGAAAAAAGAATGGCTGGATCTTCTGTGACCTGGTACCATGAATAAGGAAGGGACTGAGGACAATGGCAGCCTCGTGTGCTCAGTCTCTCCTGCCCTACTCTGCTTCTGCTGGGGCACTACTCCCGTCTCTCCTCAGAACCATAAACTTGCCTGTGGGCCCAAAGCAGCCACCCCAGTCTGACTCAACAAGCCTTTCAGTGGCTTGGAACAGTGACTCAGTTTCTCAAGAAATCAACCACTCATTGTGGTGGGTGGGGGGCGGAGAGAAAATAGCCACCAGCTGGGTCTGTAGGCAGGGGCTGGAGTCATGGTTCTAAATCTGCTCGGTAACACGCTCTGTTGTTTGGGAAGTGGCTGGAAACTTAATTCACTGTCCACCAGCAATGCCAGCAGTGTGTCTGGAAGAAAGAGCAGGAACTCAGGAGGGAGACAGGTATGGGCTCCAAACTGAGCTCTGTAACTCACTAGCTGTGGGGTCGAGGGCCAGTCACTTGATTTCTCTGAGCCTCTTGCCTTCACCTATAAACCGAGGTTAACGGTGCCCACCTTGTGAACTCACTGCGTGGATGAAATGAAATAATACATGTGATAATGGATCTTAGTAAGTACGTCAGTCAACACTCCCCTAAGAGTGACATTTTAATAATCACACCCTCCAGAATGAGGATCTCAAAGAACATCCCCAAACATCAGAATCAGAGAGGGTCCTTCTTCCTTGGCTATGCCCACTCAGTAGCTGCCTGGTGTCTCTGTACCCTTGTGAGAATGGCTATCCTCATGTGCCACTCACTGCTGTACACTTTTTCTTTTTGTTAAAGATTGCATTTTTAAGTAATCTCTACACCCCATATGGGGCTTGAACTGGTAGATGACGACTCATACCTCACGACACATCAGGGCAAAAGATATATTATTATATCTGGCGTATCTGGCTATTTGTCTGGAATAGAGAGAGAGTGGACTCCTACGTTATCCTTACAAAAATAAAATTCCAGGTGGATTAAGGGCTTAAAATATAAGAAGTAAAATATTAAAAATCTGGCACAGCAAATCGGGATGCAGTACTAGCACACACCTCCCAGAATGGCTAGTGAAAAAGTCAGATACGACCACGTACTGGGTGGATATAGAGCAGTGTCTCTTGCGTTACTGACCAGGGTGTAATTGGTACAACCACTTTGGAAAACTGTCAGTCTCTATAAAAGCTGAGCATACACATACCCCGTGACCCCAAAATTAAGCTCTTGGGTAAATATACAACAGAAATGCAGACACAAATTCATCAAAAAATATGTACCAGAGGGGCACCTGGGTGGTTCCATCAATTAAGCATCTGCTTCATGTTATAGGAACTGATCCTATCCCATGAAAAGAGCATCACGCAGGGTCCTGGGATCCAGCCCTGCGCCTGGCTCCCTGCTCGGCAGGACTCCCCCTGCTTGTGTTCCCTCTCTTGCTGTATCCCTCTCTCTGTCAAATAAATAAATAAAATCTTTAAAAAATATGTATAAGAATGTTTGTAGCAGCACTATTTGTAGTAGCTCCAAATTGGAAGCAAAACCCAAATGCCCATCAATAATAAAACAAATTTAAAAAATAGTCAAAGACGTAGAAAAGTATTAATGTTTGGTACACTTACATAAAGGAATACTGCACAGCCATGAGAAATAATGAACCACGTGAATGAATCTCACAACCATCATGTGCGTTAAAGAAGTTAGACACACAAGAGTACGTAGAGATGATTCATTGGAATAAAGTTTAAACATTTGCCTATGATGTTAGAAGTCAGGGTGGGGCTAATTTTTAGGGGGTGTCATAAGTGGAAGGAGCATGAAGGAACTTCTAGGGTGCTGGAGATGTTATGTTTCTTGATCTGGGTCCCGGCTACATGAGTGCGATCACCTTGTGAAAAATCACGGATCCGTAAAGATATGTGCACTATTTCATAAATATGTTATACTTTGACAAAAATTTTGGCAAGGAGGTTTCATGTAAAGTAGGGGTTAGAAGACCTTCTCAACCAAGATTGGAAATCTAGGTCATCAAAAAGTAAGATGTTTTTGCATATATATGTGTGCGTGTGTGTGTGTTTAAAACATCTTTATGGCAAAAGATACTGCAAGCAATGTCAAAAGACAAGCAGTAGACTTGGAAAAAAATTTTTTTTTTCCTATAAACTTTTTCTTTATTTAACTTTTAATAAAAATATAGACTCTTAACTCAATAAAAAGATAGCAGTGATAGTAATTATCACACAGGAGGAGCTCAACAAATGTCAAAGTCTTTAGTTTTCAAGCCACATCATGACCACCTCCTTCTCTCCTTCTCAGTGTAATCCAACAACTGGCTGAGTTCACTTAATCATCTCACTGGGGCTGGGCCTTTCCTGCCATTCACTCAAATCCAGAACTCCTGACTTGTGGCTCACAATACTTCAGTCATCTTTTATAGAAGTGGAAATGAGATATTTTTAGCCACAGTCAGGGACATAAAACTTCTTTTTTCAGGGATATAGGAAATTCAGGTATTCATTACCAAAAAGATCCTCAAGTATTAAAAAGTGCATTCTGTGCCTCTTTCAAAAATAGAACCTTTTGGGTTGAAAGAAAAAAAAATTCCTTCCAAAAATCATCATTACCAGGCACATCAGCCAAACAGGGAGCTAACAAGTCCTGCTGTTTCCATGACAAAGAACACTGAAACCACACCACCGCAGAAAGAAAATCGTGGGGGCTTTCTGCGTAGCACTCCTCAGTCCAGACAGGGACACAGACATAACCCTCCCTCCTGAACTGGGTCCCTACCTGTGCAAAGGCTAGTACTGGACATTTCTCTTTAAACACCAGATTTCAGCTCTTTCTCATTCTGCCCTGGGGACCCTTTCTCTTCTGGCTCTTTGTCACAGTCTGGAGAAATACTCTGACTCTCAATGGTAGCAAGAGCATCCAAGTCCAATCTTCTTCTCTTCCTCAGTTGGTGCAAGTGGGATTTGGATTTTATATGTGCTGCCCATTCACGGTCCCCAATGATGATTCGATCACAGAGGTCACACATGCGGTAACTTCTCTTGTTCTCCATTTCATTGCATAGCATCTTTACTGGAGCAGCTGCAGGCTTGTGGCCCTGGATGAAATTTTGCACGATTTCAAGAGCAGGTTCAAGAACAGATTCTTCCCACTTCGAGACATCAGATACTTCTAAGCCATATACTGGGGGGACACTGGGACCAGGTCTGCTCAAAAATCGGTTTTTAACCCACCGGTTTTGCTTCCGGGCATATCTCTTAGTCACTTGTTTCAGAGACTCAATACCTTTCTTTAGGAGCTGGTTACTAGTCTCTGGTGTGCATTTTCCCTCAGTGACCAGGTACTCGTGAAATTCCTTGAAGCCAATGGATTGGAAGATACCGTGTTGATAGTCCTGGCTATTTTCTGCAACTTTCTTCTGATTATAGCGTCTGTGAAAATCTCTTAGTTCATCCAAGAGCCCAGCAGCAAGCATGTCATCCACCCTCTTATCCAAGCGCTCATCTAGAACTGTCTGGTCAGCATGAAGCCAGAGGATGCAAAGGTTAGGGAACTTCAGAGGGCCTCCAAGGGGACCACCACCTTCCTCTGCATGTTGACGATGAAGAAATTCACTATGAGAGATCCCCGTTTCTTCAAATACTTGCAAGCTCCTGGCCACTTTGCGCTTGTCATGGGGGTGCAGCTTGGCAGCCATTTCTGGGTCCACTTGGCTTAGGCGTTTGTGAAGAACGTGGCCATCCTCCTTCTCAAGCTCTTTTCGGTCGGTCACTTTCTCAGGGCCCATCTCATGGGGCTTAGTATTGACAAGAACTTTCCAGAGCAGAGATTCAATGTAATAATTGGTTCCTCCCATGACAATAGGAATTTTGTGTCGGGCAAATATATCTTCAATCAGAGCAGTTGCCTTGTTCCTGAAATCCACAACTGTGTAATTTGTCACGAGAGGATCCACAAAGCTGATCATGTGGTGCTGGCACATTCTCTGCTCTTGGGCAGAAACCTTGTTGGTGATAATGTCTAGGCCTTCATAAACCTGCGTGGAGTCAGCGCTAACGATTTCGCCACCGAGCCGCTGGCCTAGCTGCAACGCCAGGGTGGATTTGCCGGTGCCCGTGGCCCCGAGAATCACTACAAGAGGCAGTGTCCGTGGCAGACCCCGTAGCCCGGTGCTCCTTGGAAAAATTTTTTATAATGAAAATGATAAACTAACGTTAGAAGCTGTAATATGCAAAGAGCTATCAGTTGATCAATTAAACAACCCAATAGAGAAATAGACAAAATGATACAAACAGGCAATTCAGAGAAGAAAAATATCCAACTATATAGAAAGATGTTCAAATTTCTTAGAATTCAGTGGCATATAAATTAAAGTAGTAATAAGATACTAGTTTGCACCCTCCAGGCTGGCAAAATTAAAAAGAGCTTCTACATCTATTTTATGTTGGGGGGGGGGGAAGTGTGCTCTAAATCATTGCCAGTGGAGATGTAAATTATTACAGCCATTTTGGAAATCAATCTGGAAAAATCCATTAAAATTAAAAATACATATGCCCTTTGACCTAGCAATCCCACTCCTGGGAATCTATTCCAGAGAAATAAAGGCATCTACCCAAAGGCCCGTGTGCAAGGGTGTTTATTGCAACATTGATCATAGAGGGGTACGCATGATGTGTGGGTGTGCAGAGAGACACACACACACATACAGCCCAGAAACAAGCAAATGTCTCAGCCCGGAAGTGGTGTAGATGCTGGTGCTCTCCCTTAGGGCTCACAGTCCAGAGGCCTGGGGTAAACTGCAATCTTTCCAGTCCACAGGAGGTCTCCACCTGGAGCACAGGACAGGCAGGCAGTTGTGGATGATTAGAAGCCCCGTGACTCGTGCGGGTAGCTAACAGCATGGATTCTAAAGCAGGATTTGGAGGAGTGATCATTGGGACAGAGGCATTCCTATAGCTCCTCTTGGCAGGGCCGCCAGAATCGAAGAAGGGACCCCAACAAGGGAGGACCATGGGAATGACTATTGTAGACATTTAAGGCCAGTCACACCTACAGGGGCTTTTTAAAGCCAAAGCCAGGCAAAAATTCCTACTAAATGAAGGGATCAATGGCAAACAATTATTTCTCAAAACGATGTGTTCCTTCTGAGGTTTGTGGTCAAGTCATATCTCCATCCACCTGTAGCTCTCTGTCCTTTTTCTTTTTTAAAACGATTTTATTTATTTATTTGACGGAGAGAGGGACACAGTGAGAGAGGAAACACAGCAGAGGGAGTGGGAGAGGGAGAAGCAGACTTCCTGCTGAGCAGGGAGCCCAATGCGGGGCTCCATCCCAGGACCCAGGGATCATGACCTGAGCCTAAGGTAGATGCTTAACAACTGAGCCACCCAGGCACCCCTTAACTCTCTGTCTTACATGAATTAAAATGTGTAGTGGGGACACCTGGGTGGCTCAGTCAGTAGAGCATCTAACTCTTGATCTCAGCTCAGGTTTCGATCTCAGGGTTGTGAGTTCAAGCCCTGCGTTGGGCTCCATAGTGGGCGTGGAGCCTACTGTGAAAAACTCTTCTAAGCTCCAGTGGGCTGTTGCTCAGCCTTGGCCTTGCTTAGGAAGGCAGCTCTAAACAGGCCTCTACCCTAAATTAAAGCCCACATAGTATGTATTTAAGTATTTAAAATTATAAACCAAATCAATGAACTCTTAGCGAAAAATATTTTATCCTCCTGCCTTAAAAAAAGATTAAAAACAAATTTAAAGATTAAAAATTTTTATGTGAATAAAAGTAGGCAAGGCAGTAAAGAAGATGGAATTTAATTGTTTTTGCACATCGTTGGCTATTCTGTTGATGGGCTGCTGATGTTTAGATAAGTAATAAAAATATACGTAATTCAAAAAAATATACGTAATTCATAAATTATTATGTATCTTTTTAGTAACTTAATTTTTCTCGTCTTCTTTATTGCAAAATTAATTGTTACAATCAAGAGTTTTGTACCATTTATGTTCTATGGCAAATTGGTGCCAAGCTAGACTATCTTTTTTGAGTCATAACTCTTGGACGCTTTAAAAAATTAATTTCAATTTAGAGAAAGTTTCAGAAAGGAGTGGAATTGTCACAAAAAATCTTAAATGCAATATTTAAATTTGGAAATGAATCATGAATTGTACATATTCTGTTCAAATACTTTAGTGGAGTTACAGAAGATGAATTTATCATGACTGCCCTGAACCTTACAAAATATTTTAATTTCACAATATGAGTTTCTCCCCCTTCTACTGTAATTTTCACCAACCCTTAAAGTGATATTGCGAGCCATGCTAGGATGTGAAGCATTAGCCACACGTAGGACATCTGTGGTTATGTATGTTCAGGTTACAGAGGTAAAGTGTTGGTAGGGCAAAATGTTCCACAGCCACCACGTGCACCTGTCAATACCGCACTAATTCATGGGTACCCCCTGGACCATGAACTGGAGCACAGAGAAGCATGAAAATGGACATGTACTCTCCTGGGAAATGCTACTTTACTCTGTAAGAAACCATTGCATTCATGCTATCTGGGAAAAAGGATTTGACAAGTTAATTAATTTGTCTTTTTTCTTTCTTAAGTGCTTCTGCCACTCAAATCTTCCTCTTACTCTGAAGCAGTGTCTGTCTCCAATGTTGGCAGATGCACAACCCAGAAACCTTTGTGACATGCAGACACAGTCGCTTTATGTGTTGACCGCGTGGGGAGCAGAAGACGCAGAGTGACTTTGCTCTGGGGCCCAAATGGTGTGGTCACTGAGCTGTTATTTAGGCTGCAGGATGCCCTCTGCCCAGGGCTCAGCAACAGCTCCCACGGGCTCCTTAGTTTTGGAATATTCATGGTATTGTGGGAGCTTCAAAGGCAGGGCTTCGCAAACTTTCTGCGGCGCAGGATTGGTGTTCAATTTTCCCATCTAATACGGATCAGATTGTACAAATCCAATAAAAATAAATCACTAGAAAAATGAAATTGAAAAAAATCCGTATAAAATCCAAGGCTCACGTTTTAAAGACAGAAAGAGAAAAATTTCCTCTCTGTTTCTGTGTGTAACTCATCAAGACCCAGTAACAGACCATTTGTGGACTGGCGCTGGTCCACAGACCCCACTTCTTGTAGTGCTGCTCAGAGTCCCAGAAGCCGGGGTAGGGACTCTCTTGCCTCTCGGGGTGGTACCAGGAACCATGAGTCTGAATCCTATCCCATTGTCTTCTTCCAGTTTGAGTATTCTGCCCGCCCCATCATGTGGCTCTCATGTTAGGTCCTCTGTTCTCTCGCTGTCCTCACACAGGCGCAGATCCCCAAGCTTTCTCCATCTCCACAAGCCCCTGCAGCCCCTGCTTCTCCCCGAGTCACTGGTTTATGATGACGGACCTTGAAAGACATGCCTGGAGTGGGGGCTTCTGAGTCAAGTGTTTGCACTGAGAGTGTGACGTTGTCTTTGACACAGCCAGGACCTCTCCTGCATCTGGTGCTCCGCTCCAGAGACTGTAGGGAGAGGAAGTCAGGCTCATCTGCCCCTTGAACAGAGAGGATGAGGCCACTTCTGCAGATGCTGCCATCTTAAACCCATTCCGGGTTTAAGACAAACTTCCTCTTAGGGGTTGATGCTGGAACCTGGGGCTGAATTGTTTCAGTTGTCTCTGCTGGAGTCTTCAAGACTCTGCATCCAGGGCAAATGGTCATGCATGTTGTAGGAAGCAGGAGATGTCTGAATTTGAGGTGTTTATTAAGATCAGACCAGAAAGCCGATAGTTCCCAGACAGGCAGCTGGTGAAGGAAGGCCTCATGGAGGTGGTCAGAGGTGAGGTCCCCCTACACTGGGCAGGGCAAATGGAAGGGGAAATGCTCTGGGCTTTCTTAGTGGAGGTAGGAACTCCCACCTACCTGGGGTCAGCATGCTTCCAGAAATCCTACATAGTATAGATACATGCTTCTAAAATCATTCACATATTTTTTTAATCATTTACATATTTTTTATGACTCATTTCAAATTTTCTATCCTTATGTCATCGCTTCCTCTTATAGATATTTTTGCAACAGATGTAGCTTTATTCATTGCAAGCTACTGGTGATTCATTTTTTAAAAAGATTGTATTGATTTATTTGAGAAGAGAGCATGAACAGGGAGAGGAGCAGAGGAAGAGGGAGAAGCAGACTCCCTGCTGAGCAGAGAGCCCGATGTGGGGCTCGATCCCAGGACCCTGGGATCATGACCCAAGCAGAAGGCAGACGCTTAACCAACTGAGCCACCCAGGTGCCCCAGTACTGGTGATTCATTTAAGCTTTCTCCTTTAATGTTTTAAAATTACAAAAGGAATTCAGAAGTATATATAATGAAAACCTGTCTTTGTCACCCATACAGTCCTGTGCTCCTCAATCCTCCCAAGAGTTAAGGATTTTGACCAGCTGTTAACAGTGTGCCCTTGCCAATTCATGCTATGCATTTACAAATACCTGTCTTTCCCGTCACTCACCCTGGGGGAAGCAAAGCCATGAGCCACTCACTGGAGAGGCCTGAGTGGAGAGGAATGGAAGCCTCTGGCCGGCAGCCCCATGAGTGAGTTTGGGAGCAGGTCCTCCAGCCCTAAGCAAGCCTTTGGATGAGACTGCTGCCCTGGTTGGCATCATGACTGCAACCACATGACAGACTCCTAGCAGGACCACCTTGAGGAATTCCTGTCTCTCTGAAACTGTGTGAGATAATAAATGTCGTTTTCAGCTGCTAAGTTTTGGAGTAATGGTTACAGAGTAATATAATTAACACAGCTTTCATTCTCTCCAATTACAACATCATTTTTTAGTTCCACTCTATAAAAAAGCTCTTCAAAAGAGTTGTCTATACTCATCACCTGCTTTTCCCTCCCCCTCCTCCAATCCTGTCCTCGTATGTTAGCCAATGTCTACTATCTGGGTGACGAGGATGTCACAGGGCAATGCTGTCTTAAGTACCTGTTGCAGACCCTAAGACGAGGGTTCACGTGCAGAAGATTTATTAAGGAAGAGCCCTTAATAGAGATTGGGAAGGGAGTGGGGGAAGCAGGACAGGGAAGAGGAGGAAGTACATCAAGGATGACTTTTTAGGCAAAGTCCCACTCTCTTACTGATCCCGGATAGCTCCGGAGAAAATTACACCTGGGGCACTTCGGT